TTTTAAAAAAATATATTTTATTGATTTTTTCACAGAGAGGAAGGGAGAGGGATAGAGAGCTAGAAACATTAATGGGAGAAATACATTGACCAGATGCCTCCTGCACACCCCCCACCGGGGATATGCCCGCAACCAATGTACATGCCCTTGACCAGAATCAAGCCTGGGACCTTTCAGTCCACAGGCCAACACTCTATCCACTGATCCAAACTGTTTTTGGCTGTCATTAATCTTTTTAAATATGCATGTTATCCTGGAAAATGTATATAATTTGGACAAACTTTACCTTTGCTACAACATTGAGTAAATTTTCCATCAGATGGTTTTTCATCAGAGAAATTTAGTGATAGTCAAAATTGACATCTAACAGTTATTCCATTATGACTATATTTGAGAATTGCATCATCGTGTACTCTATTTTCTCTGAGAAGGCAGTTCTACCAGTATTGGTAGTACTTATTGACAGCTGTTCTTCAGACATATTCTGTCATTGCTGCCACCTTCTTTCAGCTTCAGAGGCACATTGGTCTTCAGACATTTTTTGTCGATGACACCAGCTTCTTTTGGCTGCAGAGTATGTTGTGTCAATAGTTGCACTTTAGACATTTTCCCATCTCCCTGCTGTCAGGGTCTGGGATGCAGGTGAATGAAACTCCTGGCTGTCAGGCCACTGACAGCTGGCTGATTCTGACTGATTCTGTGGGGGATGGGACTCCCTCCTGCATGCTGTCAGAGTCTGGGCTGATGCCCACAGGGACACAGTGTCAAGTCTGCCTGTGTTGGGAGACACAGAATCAAGTACCCACCCGCTTGCCTGTGCCTCAAAATCCCGTGAGATCTAGATCTGCTTGCACCCATGCAAACAGATGCAGCATCAAGCTGCACAGAGCTGTGGAACCCTCCACGGATTCCTCCACAGTATGTGGGGCTGAGGGAACCCTGGTGAAAGCCACACAGAAGAGCAGCTAGGACCTGTCCTACGGTGGGGCTAAAGGAACTAGGCAGGCATATGTAGTGGCTGCCGGACCTCCCGCCTCCCTGTGGGGACATGGGAACTATAGCAGCAGGCGTGTGGAAAAGCCAGGTCCATCCCTGCTATATACACTGCCATCTTGTGATGGTTTTGGTGTGATGGATTACCTCTTTATTATATAGGATTAGAGTCCTGGTGCATGAAATGTGTGTACTTGGGGGTTTCCCTCAGACCAGCCTGCACCCTCTCACAGTCCAGGACCCATGCTCCTTACTGCTTGGCTGACTGTTCCTCAGTGCTCCCTCCACCTCCACTGTGCTCACCAGCCATGAGCCAGGCCTCTGGCTGAACAGCACTCCCCCTGTGGAAGTGCACTGATGCTCCTGCATTGAGCGTCTGGCCCCTGGTGGTAATAGTGCACTTACCACCCGGGTGCAGACGCTCAATGCAGTAGCATCAGTGCACTCCCACAGGGAGAGTGCCTCTCAGATAGACAAAAGTAATCAGAATTCTCCCCTCCATTCTGAGCTGCTTTTTTTTTTTCCCCAAGATCTGTTTTTAGAATTTATAGGCCCCAGGTTTACATACCTGTGGACTCCCTCCTCTAGCTCCCACTCTGGGAAAACCCACTCTTCTTAGGCAAAGTTAAAGGCAGAAAGAGCAATCTAAAGTAGAAGCTGCCTAGATGGCTCTGTCCTAGGTTAGAATTCCTTGCTGCCATTGATAAACAGTGTGGTCTTCATCTTACTGTGCCTCAGTTTCCCACCTATAAAATTGGATGATTAAGGTATCTGCGAGAATTAAATAAAATGACGTAGATTGAAATACTTAGAATGTTCTGAGCATAGAGTCAGGGTCAAATATGTTAGCTATAGCTAAGTGCTTTAGGGGCCTGGGAAGTCATAAGTCACGGTTCTTTCTAGTCAGAGAGGCTGCTGAAAAGAACAGGTAAGAAAATATAGATATACAACCATGATTTATTAACTACAACTACTTGTTCAGAGTTAGCATCAGTGAAAGAAAGAGCAAGTTAGCAATTTCCAGAAGTTCTTGCTGACATTCAGGCTCAAATGGACTCATTTATCTATAACCCAGATTCTGTTCACAATAAATTTCCCTTTATCTGAGGCTCAAACCTTTATCAAACACATGTGCAATCTCCCATTAAAGTGGTTCTAACTAGAGCAGGCATATGGTTCACATCTGATTGCCTGTTTCCTTCATTTGCACGTAGGTTTACTTTTTAAAAGAAATATTGCTATGAGATCTTGGCTTACCTCGATTTTGTGGTTATAAAACATTATTATTTTAGATTTTATTCTCCCAATAATCCTGTGACCTATAAGAATTTCATTGAATCCACTGATTTCATTGAATCCACATTCGATTTTTATTAATTAGTTGTCCTTTAATCTAATACAAAAATAACCCCTTTGCTTAATATTCAATAACATCAAACAAGTATAAAATCACTCTCATCTCATATAATATATATACTTGAGGCCTGGTGTATGAAATTTATGCACTGGGATGTGTGTCCCACAGCCCAGCCTGCACTTTCTCCAATCTGGGACCCCTTCAGGGATGGTTGGATCGGGCCTAAACAGGCAGTCAGACATTCCTCTCACAATCCAGGACTGCTGGCTCTCAACTGCTTGCCTGCCTACCCTCTTAACTGCCCCTAACTGCTTCTGCCTGCCTACCTTATCATTCCCTAACTATTCCCCTGCCAGCCTGATTGATGCCTAACTGCTCTCCTGACAGCCTGTTTGCCCCTAACTGCCCTCCCTGCAGGCCTAGTCACCCTTAATTGCCCTCTCCTGCAGACCTGGTCCCTCCCAACTGCTCTCACCTGCAGACCTGGGTCCCCTCCAACTTCCCTTCCCTGAAGGCCTGGTCGCCCCAACTTCCTTCTTCTGCTGACCTGGTTACCCCTAACTCCCCTCTTCTGCAGGCTTGATCATCCCCAACTGCCCTCCCTTGCAGACCTGGTCCCGCCCTGCTGGCCATCTTGTGGCAGCTATCTTGTGTCCATATGGGGGCAGGATCTTTGACCACATAGGGGAAGCCATCTTATGTGTTGGAGTGATGGTCAATTTGCATATTATTCTTTTATTAGATAGAGAGAGGCCTGGTGCACAGGTAGGGGATGGCTGGTTTGCCCTGAAGGGTATCCCAGATCAGGGTGAGGGTTCCCTTGAGGTCTGGGCAAGGGGACTGTGGTGGTTTGCAGGCCAGCCACACCCCCCCAGTGACACAAGTGGAAGCCCTGGTATCTGGGTTTTATTTATCTTCTATAATTGAAACTTTGCAGCCTTGAGTGGAGACTAAGGCAGGCCAGGGTGGGTAGAAAGCTTGGCTTCTCCCATTGCTGAGGAAACCCAAGCCTCCCTCCTGCTCTCTGTGGCTGCAGCCATCTTGGTTGGGTTAATTTGCATACTCCCTTCTGATTGGTGGATGGGCATAGCAGAGTGATGTTAATTTGCATATTACTCTTTTAATAGATTTCATTGTTCATTAAAAGTTTATTATGAAAGGCTTAAACAAGAATAAGTATATTTATTGTTTCTTCACTGCTTCTCAATACTTATAAAAATGTTTGGCACATTGCAGGTGCTTGATACAAATTTATTGAATAAATAAATAATTATATTTAAAATACTTTGAAGCATTTAAGGAGAGAATATGTAGATATTGAGGCTCTATTAATACCTAATGTTCAATTAATAGATGCATGTCAAGTGTCACCTTTTCCTAGACCTAGGCAAAAATGTCAATAGAAAGTGGGGGATGGGGGGGTGAGGAGGAATTAACCTGATTGCACACCAGTGGGGGACAGAAAGTATGATTGATTCTCAGGTTACCTAAATCCTTGTTGTTTTGTTTTCATCTTTTGAATTCTGTTCCTTTAATCCCACAAATATATAATTCTTCTCACCTTACCAATTCTTCCACCTTTTATTTTGAATGTCTTAATCTCCCTCAGATCATCCATACTAGCTCTTAAGATTTTATTTTTGGAAGAGAGTTTTGAAGTATTACATTGCTCCTATAATTAATTCTTCTAAACAGTTCAAATCAATATTCTATTCTTCTGTAATTTGGAGAGGGCACTAAACACATTGGGCAAGATTGGGGATCTAACTAAATTCTCTAAAAATATTTCAAATTGCTATAGAAGGCCCTCACTAAAATAAACCTGGAAACTTCCTTTTGGCAGAACATTAAATGATCCATTAGCATACTACATTTCTGTAATCCATTAGGAACACTGCTAGTACATAAAGTATATAATGATGATCAGAATTTAGTTAATGTCATAAAAAATATTTTGCTGGAAAATATGATTGTTATGTTGGGTCTTTAATGGTTAATTATGGTCATTTGGGAAGGTTTTGGCCTTTAAAAATATTTATGAGTAGTAGTAGATAGTCTTATTAAAATGACTGCCATTAAGAAATAGCTGACAGTCTGCTACAAACACTCCAAACATTTCCATTGAATACACTTATCCATAAGGCAAGTGTGCTTTGACAGCTTTAGCTTTAAGGGGAACTGGAAATTCAAGCATTTCATTTTCCAGCTTTTATAATACTATAAATAAGGGATGAGAGAGTTGAGATGACTGTTCAATGATCCACATAAAGTACTTGTCACAATTAGTCTGACACTAATGAAAAAATATGCAAGATTATTGTTGATTCCCAATGTTAAGAGCCTATACCTGAATACTTTGATTGTAAGGCACAGATTGAAGACAATGGTAATTGCTGTGTGGACTCTTTGCTCTCAATATCATAGCTCCTGAGCTCTTCATATGTGTCACTGAACTATCTTCTGGAAGTAACTCTTCTGAACTTGGAAATTATATTACTAAAACAGCAATCTCCTTTCATCTTAAAGCTCTTGTGAAATGGTTTGAAAAAAAGAAATACATTGCATTATCATGTGAACAAGTGAGAAAAAATACTAATTCTTCTCCCTCTCTCCAACCCTCCCCCTCCCCCCATCTTGTTTTCTTCCTCAGAAGCTGCAGATGAAACCAAACCTAAGGAAAGTGCTCGGCAGGATGAGGGTAAAGGAGAAGAACTGGAGGCGGACCAAGAACATGCCTGAACTCTTAAGAAATGGCTTTCCACGTCCCCACCCTTCCCTCTCCTGGACCCTGTCTCTCCCACCCTCTTCTCAGCTCCACTCTGAAGTTGCCCTTCCTGTCCTGCTCACGTCTGTGAGTCCGTCCTCTCCCACCCACTAGCCCTCTTTCTCTCTATGTGGCAAACATTTAAAAAAAAAAATAAGCAGGAAAGATCCCAAGTCAAACAGTGTGGCTTAAACATTTTTTGTTTCTTGGTGTTGTTATGGCGAGTTTTTGGTAATGATGATCCAATCATTTTGGGAAATTCTTGCACTGTATCCAAGTTTTTTGAATTGGTGCGTGTGGCCCTGTGGGAGTCACTTTCCTCTCTATCTCTCTCTGTTCCAAGTGTGTGTGCAATGTTCTGTTCATCTGAGGAGTCCAAAATATCGAGTGAATTCAAAACCATTTTTTTCCTCCTTTTCAATGTGATGGAATGAATAAAAGGAAAAAAAAAACTAAAAACCCAGTTTGTTTTGAAAATAAATAAAGCAAATGTGCCAATTAGCATTACTTGTGGCTCTAAGGCTCCTTTTTCAATCTGAATATTAATAAACCATGAGAGTGATCAAACACCAATGTCTGTGTATTTCTGTTCCATCTTATCACTAGTTGGTTTGACACACCCTCTAACTGGGATCTTACATTTTATCTTCTTTCTAGTTTCCCATTCTTACACAAACAACCCTGACAAAGAAAAGATGATTTGGCTTAAGACTCTGGCCAGGACCAATGGCTTTGGCCCTCAGTGGGATGGTTGGGGGCTACATTAATTTGCTAAGCTGCTGGAGCAAAGTGCCACAGACTGAGTGGCTTAAGCAACAGGATATTTTCTCAAAGTTCTGGAAGGTTGAACTCTGAAATCAAAGTGTTGGCAGTGTTGGCTCCTTCTGAGGGCTATGAGGACGGGATTTGTTCCAAGCCTCTGTTTTTGGCACATAAACGGCCATCTTCTCTTTACCCTATTAATTTTCTATGGGTATTTCTATGTCTAAATTACCATTTTTGTAAGGACATCAGTCATATTTGATTAGGTCCCACTGTAATGACTTCATCTTAACTTTATTACCTCTGTCAAAACCCTATCTCCAAATAAGGTCATACTCAGAAGTATTAGAAGGTAGGATTTCAGCATATAAATTTGGAAAAATGGATACAATTTACATATATGTGTCATTGTTGGTAATTACAGCATATTTAGTGTCACAGATAGTATCTTCCTAAGACTTACTTTTACTACAATCACCACAGTACATTCATCCTTCAGTAGAAGTCTCCAATGGAAGGTTTTTGTAGATTTCGCCAAGTTAAATATATAGGCATGTACTACTCTTAGTAACCTCCAGGATTTTGTTTAAATGATTTATTTTAACCCAAGTATAGACAAAGCCCATTCTGTATGTTGCTGGTAATTAACTTCTGTTGGCTTTATCCCCACACAAGGCAACGGTCATATTCTTGATTAGTTATCTTCATTGTTCTTGTGGGTGGTGGTAGTAGGTAAAGAAATGGTGTTCATTTCGCATATCCATTCTCTTCAAATTTCCTTCCAATTCCTGTTTTCAATGTGCCCTCTATTAGAAAGTAAACAGTTCCCATGTGAAACAGCAATGTCCCTAAATCTAGAAGTATCTGATGCTGTTCTTTTTTCTCTCTAAATTTTCTAAATCAATTCTGGTGCAAATTCCTAACAAGTCATGCCCTGTCTGATCCTGAGTCCCTTCCCATGGACAAGCATGGAAAATAGACCCTCTTCAACTTCCTATACTCATCTGCACATGTAATTTTCTAGCAAGGAAGAGAAGAGTGTTTCAAAACCTTCAAATAATAAAGATCATGTACATAAGTGATCTTAGGAGGTACAATGTACACCGTGGTAACTCTACTTAGCTCTGTGTGGAGCTGATGTCTGGTTAATGCTTTGAAGAAAGCCAGTGTCACTTGAACGATCAGTCCTCCCTAGATCGAGGGACCAATCCTTGTCACTGACATTAAGTAGAATTTTCATTGAGAGAAGCAATCATAAAGAAAAAAAAGGTCAGAAAACATCAATAATATATCAAAATAATTAAAGATTTAAAATTTTGTTCTGTCTTGGTGTGATTTTCAAAGAAGATTAGAAAGCAAGTACCTGGGACTCAGTTGTTACCTGATTAGGATTTCATCAGATGTGAGATAAAGTTTTAGAAAAGGTCATCAATGGGATGTAGCCATATTAGCAATATATTGGATTAGAAATTTTATTTTATCTCTAAGTTTTTATGGTAGAATAAAGTATTTTATATCTTCCCCAAATTTATGCTTGAAAGGAACATTTCTGACTTGAAACAGTTTAACTTCTCTTTCAAAATTTAATTCTAAATTCCACTGAATCCATAGTCATACTGAAAACAATAGCATATATTTTTTATTGATTTTTTACAGAGAGGAAGTGAGAGGGATAGAAAGTCAGAAACATCCATGAGAGAGAAACAACGATCAGCTGCCTCTTGCACACTCCCCACTGGGTACATGCCCCTTACTGGAATCAAACCCGGGACCCTTCAGCCCACAGGCTGACACTCTATCCATGGAGCCAAACTGGTTTTGGCAATAGCAAATGTTTTTAAGTCTAGTTAATATTCATTGTTTAGTGTGTTTGCTAATTTTGTCAGATTTATAGTTTTGTTTTTTACTTATGAATATCTTTGTTTGATAAAGTCTTGGCTCTTTAATAGAATTTTAAAGGTGGGGAAAACACCTTGGGAGGCTCATAATAATTTTAAAAGGCGTACCAAAAATAATTGCAGCCTCACACTGATACAAAGCAATGTGATTCAAACTTGTTCACAACACACACAAAATCAGGTAATCCTGGGGAAACATATCACTCAAAATATAAAAACAAATAAGATTCCAAATCTTTCAGAGAGCAACACAATTTGTTGATTATGAAATATCTACATCTGATTTACTTTAAAAAAAGAAAATAAAAACTAGGTTGAGAATAAGTTAAAAAAAAAAAAAAAAGCCCTCAACATTGGTAAATGGTTTTTTTTCAAATGATAATAAGATCATATTCTGGGTACAGACCCAATAGTCAATTGACAAAAAAACCATGGCCATGTCTTCATGAAATAGTCTCTTGACTGAACTGTATTATTTGGGCCTAAAATGTTCAATCATGATGTAAGACAACTTGAGTCTTTTTGAAGATGAAGGTATTTCTAAAATAGAACCCTTTATTTCCATATTCTATTTACCCATTGGTGATCCTTCCATCTTTTTCACCATCAGCTATCTTGTGGCTTAGTTCAGAAACCTTGAAAGCAGCATGATTCCTTTTTTTTCCACATAACATTTAATTCATGAGCAAATTTATTGATGTGGATTCCAGAAGAAAATAAGGATGCACTGTGCCTGCTGCTCTGACCAAATCTTCTAAAGGCTGATTTTCCTTGGGAATCTGAGGGTCTTTTACAATGGTCCCTTCCCATATTGATCTCATAGGGGAGAGTGGGGAAGGATTACCAAATCTCTGTCTCAATCCCCTAGGCCCTAGGGCAAATACACTTTGTAGCTCTCAAAATGCATTATTCCAATTGTCAACCAGTTCTGCAGTTGTCATGGAAGCCTGAGCAATGGGAAAATCAAATTAATGAAAGATTTCCATAAAGCATTATTAAGATCACTACAAATTCCATTAACTTTTTTTTAACCTTCTCATACATTGTCTGTTGTCATGGAAACAGCTTCTGCTAAGCTGGTTATAAAATTACTTTAATGATTGGTGAAGCTTCTAGCTAAATGTTAGCTAATGAGCATAGAAATGTGGGCTTTTTTTTTTTTTTCATTTCAAAAGCCAAACAACAATAAAAAACAAAACTCAATTTTTTTCCCCTTAAGAGATTAAAACTCATGCCTGCCTATTGGGTAGGCAAGGCCTGCACCCACACCCACCACCTCTTTTAGTCACATATTTACTCCTATATCATTGTGCTTTTGTTCTTTCTTTCTGGAAAAAACTTCGGTCACTCTGAATGAAGACAAGTGTATAGCAATAAGAATGATTAAATGCTCTTGGAGAATTCTATTAAAGAAAGTGGCAAGGACATTGTAAATGCACACCCTCCAGCAAATTGATTACCTGATTTTTTTTTTTTCTTTACAGGTATGTGTCATTGTTGGTAATTACAGCATATTTAGTATCACAGATGGTACCTTGATAAGTACATTTTTGATGGAGTGAGATGCTTCCATACAAAAAAAACATGTTCCTGGTTAACCCTGCATCACTCATAATCAGCTATGAGAGCACATGGGATTGTCATAAGAATCTTAAAATAATTCTATGGTCTAACCACCCAAATAATACTATTGGAAAGGCAGGAAATAAAGTAAGAAAGAAGATAAAATCATTTCACAGTTTACACCTAGACTTGAGCATTTTAATGTTTAGAGATGTAGTGTTACATAATATGTCTGCCTGTTTGTCTGTCTCCCTCTCTTCTTGCATATTGTCCGCTTATTTAATTATCTATAATCATATGCATATATAGTTATGTATATTTAAGACATCAATGGGCTCATGCTTTATATATTATATTGAAAACTGCTTTACATATTGCAGGTATTTTTAAATAGATTGACAAAATGGAGACAAAGGACTATACAATTCAAGATTCTCATTGCTTCTGGGATCCTTATTAAAACCTGAGACAAAAGGAAAAATATACAATGCTATATACACCTATTAAAATATCCAATTTTTTGAATCAAGTATAATGATTAATAAAAGCTCTACCATAAAAAAATCACACACACACAAAAAAACATGGCTACATAGAAAGGTCTATGTTGCCCAATCTGTTGGCATGCTGTTGTCAACCCTCATAAACCTACCATCTAGGGATATGGGCTGCATTGCCTTGCTAGACCAGGGAACTGAGGGTTGATTGGGAAGGATAGATACCATTGTTACAATGGTGAAACAAGCAATCAG